AGTGACTAATTTAGACCTTCGCGGGCCCTAGGCAAAATAATATTTACGGGCCCCTTTACAAATTTTGTATTACTACAAATATAAATAAAATTGTAATATTTAAAATTAAAGTATTTTTATTTTTGCATTTGAATATCTTACTTACATTGTATTTTTGGGGCTACAAAATTATGCAGCAATAAACATTATATTTTTCTCAACAAACACTGCTTTATTCTGAACTTCACCGAACAGATCTAATGCGCATATACAAACATTATCTAATTCTAAGTGATGTTGTTAGATGTCGGAGCAGTAGGTAATGTTATTCTTAATTATTAATCCTTGAATATGGCGCTAATAATGAAGTAGTTCGCAATACTAATAAAACAATGGCACGTTTAGAACTTATTACGGGCCCCGGGCAAGTGCCTTGTCTGCATTGTGCCAAATTAGGCCCTGGTTACATTGTACTTGAATACTTGGGAAAGAAATGGAAAGACAAATTTTCGTGACAACAGATACATAAATCGTAAATTTAAGGAAAATAAATTCTAGAGCTTTTTCTGTACCTCGTGCATCTCTCTCATTCATTAAATTTAGTTGTAAATGATGTTGCCAAAGTAACAGTTAATTTTTTAACATTGTACAAGAATTGTACACGTTTTTTTCTACATCCCCTTATAGATGGGACATACGAAATCGTAATATCACTGGTTTAACATTGAAATCCGTAAGTAATATAAGATGGGAGTCCTGTCAACTATACAGAACTATCATAAAAACACCAGTAAATTCCTATCGGTTGGGTTAAGTTATAAATCTACTCGCGATTCACATAATCGGGCGAGGGCGGCCAAATATCTAGTAGGCAGGCGGCTAACAGCCCGGAACCGGACCGGGATAGAATCATTGGAAGCATTATATGTGTGTAGCTTCCACCAGCTAAACTGCATGAGGTTGGTGCTCTGTAAAGCGCATGCGCGAATGTGTATAATCTGGCTGTTCGGGAGTTGACCCGGTTTCGATAATACAGCGCTTCCATTCCGCCACTGATATTCGAATATACAATAGCAATCTTATCATTTTTTTCACGTGTAGTTTATAGAAATTTGTAATAAGATACATAATGCGGTTATAATAAAATATTAATTTTAATTAATCCAAAGTACGTTAAAATATGAAAATAATTGCGCAATATGTATTTATTTTTTAGAAAATACAAGGGAAGCGGCACTTCCACCGCTTCCAATGACGGTACGCCACTGCACTATAGAACTCTATACCCGTGCTATTTGCAGATAGACGACTAGTAGTCAAATTTTCATACATGCGACTAGGGTTATTAGCTGTTCGGAATTTCAGTTATTTTTTAAAAATTGTTCAGAAATGTTTTGAAAAATGGACGAGGAATTGTGTTTGTATGTATTTCCCCCCTTCTCAATGGAAGTTAGTACAACTAACTAATCCGAATTATTTCCATTTTCGTTAGTTTGCGTTTCTTCTTCTATTTTCGTCTCTTTCCGCCCCGTAAACACTAAGACCACCTGTTTTAATAACACTGTCGCCCGGTCACAATAGTCGCGGAAGAATAGTGAGGGACAGAGGTTTGACATATCCTTCCAGAAATATTCCTGGAGTTTTTGCCCTGTCCAGATTCGTTCCCTGATTCCAGAGCAGAGGTTGATACCTGAATCGCTTCGGCCATCCGGCTGTCTCATAATCATCAAGATAACGAAAAAACGTTTCCAAAGTTGTAAGGTTTTTTTTGCTCATAATTGTTTTCAAGTTTATGCATTTTTTTTCATTGATCTGCTACAGATTGGCAGTGTATCGTATTTAGCGACGAACCCCCATTCTATTTGGTAACGGACGTGAGGACCATTAGCAAGCGCTTCAATCCAATCTTCATTGTTGAGTGAGGCAGTTTCACAGTCGGCGTGCTGTTCTGGGGAGCTACCTCGTATGACCATCATTCCCCTAGCCAGTTTGGGAACAATGACGGTACAGTGGTATGTTCAAAAAAATGCTGCGTTCTCGTGTTGCTTTTTCATGGCAGAGCTGCATACAGCCATTTTTCAGTTCTGCAGCACACAGGAGTGTCTCCGTCATGTTGCCATACTTCTTCGACCTGCCCGATCTTCTAGATTTATCATTCATCGAACATTTGTGGGACTTGATGGGACGCCAGCTTTAGCCGTATTGGTCTGAAGTGGCAGTTGCTAAATTTGTGGAAAAAATCTGTTGCATGATAGCATACTGTGCCTGTATTCCTCCACGTCCGAGTGTATCACTCCAAGAATCCGGGCAAGAGGAGGTCTTACAACATTACTAAAGGTTCCTTTAAAATGTTCCGTTGTTCTACATGAAATTGTTTTTCTATGTTGTCGTCAAATATTATAATTACTGTCATTGACTCATTTTTATATATGTTACTTTAAGTTTATATTAAAAAAATAATAATATAGAAAATCTGTTACAGATTATAGTATTTTTGCAATATTATAATTTGATTAAAGAATATTTTCGATTTAATAATCAAATTTATTGCTATATATTCATATTCACTACAGCTGGCAGCACTTGTCAATTTCTTTTCGTGTAGTTGAAATCAAATCTGAATAAATCCTTTCGCCATTTTAATCAACAATTTACAATTTACTTTGTCAAATTAATCATTTTTAAATATCTGAGAGCATTTAAAAGAAGTAAGTCTTAATTTTCTAAGTATTCCACACTATTTTTTAAACAATAAAAGTTATTTAAATGAATAAACTTATTTTTTTCTGGCATTTTTTCTGCCTTGGATTTGAAATTGATTGATATTTGTCGAAAATTGTTAAGCTTATATCTGAACTAAGTATACTGAAATTGAAAATTTCAATTTTATTATATTTACTCTCGATTATCTTAATTTGGATTATAATAACCGAGACTAAATTAATATATATCAAATGTAATAATCAAAAGCTGAGATGATATCAAAAATTTATTTTCAGCTTTCTTAAACTTTATCCTTAAAACTCGTTAACCGATAAGATGTGAACTCTGAATGAGGGTTTTCTGCTTCCTGTACAATCAAAAAAGTCAAAGGAACCATACCAGTACCTTTACATTCGACCCTTTGCGGGATATTCCACTCTGATGGTCAGTTTTTACCGTTACCGGTACCACTGCCTATTCTCCATGCTGACTGTCTGTCAAGGCTTGCTATTATTTGCCTTTATTGGCACTCCGTGTGTAGTCATGCACTTCGGCACTTGTTGTTGTTTGCACCTTGATGCCTTGCCTCTATGTGGGTGGTGTGACTGCTTAAATAATTTTAGGAGGTGTGGGCTTATCCTCACACCTCCTAAAACTATATTAACATCAAGTACTCCTTGAACAGTTGAATAGGTTGCTCAAAACCAGAATAGTTGCATGGGCCAAATAGCAGAGCGACCTGACACTCGATCCTGTGCACCCTAGAAGGCTGATTTCAGTGGGCTGTATCTTGTTGGGATCACGTATAGAGGTATGGTTCCTTTGGGTTTGCACCTATGAGTATGGTCTATAGCTCTGATAAGGTCTCAACCATCTCATTCAAACATGTAATTATACTTATATTCTTTATCCTTTATCTTCCTTTGTATGTGGTTAAGGAAGATAACTAGGATATAAAACTTTATTTTGACAACTTGAATAATGTTTTGTACATTCTCTTGTTTTAATTTCTCTATTACCAATTCTCTTATTGATATAACTATTTTGACAAGTTTTTATCTCTGTAAGAGCTCTTGCAAAGATAAATCTTTCACCAAAATCTAAGTGCTCTAAGTTGCTAGTGCAGTTTTTCTCTAGTGTCATCCTGCAGAGTTGTAAAACATTCCTATAAGAGTACAAAAATAATAAAAAAGAATTATGGGAAATAACTCAAAAAGACCTCCTTAATTTTATTTCACTGAGCTTAGTGAAAGTTGTTTTCCAAACTTGTTTACTTCAGTGCTTAATCACTAATGTTAGTTGCAAATAATGGTAAATTTTAAATCAAAACAAATTGAATGAAATCATATAACAATATGTTAACTTTGTGAAAATATACAGTGATGGCTCCTATTGTTAATCACTTCCAGTATTTGATTGTGTAAGTTGAAATGTGTGTATAATTAGTCCATCTGAGTAGGAAGAATTGTAAGATGATCCCATTTTGAATGATGTAAGAATAACAGGTTGCCTCACTCATGGTGATGGAAAAAATTATTGTACATTGCTTCTAGTAGTCAGCTATGTTAGATATTGTAGATCTTTAGAAGTTAACGAGCACTCTTATTTTCTACAAAATGCTTATTATTGAGTTTGCTTAGTTGTTTTTCTGGGTGGTAAACTATCCAAGCACCTGTTGTAGCTAATAATTTGCATCAATTCTGATCTAAGATGTAAGTAATGAGATTGTAGACTACTATGAATACTGAATCTGTAAACTTGCATGTTTGACCACAGTGATCAAATACTGGAGTTTATAGCTTTTTCATGACATGACCATGACTGAAAATGCATATCAAGTCTCCCTTTCACAGTTACCACATTTGTCAGGCTTTTGATGAAGGACAATCTAGTTGTCAAAGATTGTGTGACCATGCTGGTCGACTACTGGATGAACAATTTGTCATTAAAGGTTTTATTTTCATGATGTAAATGAAGGTCTAAAAAAATTTTTTTCCATGATAAGTGTAGAACAAACTTTATTTTCATGTATGAATTTTGCTTTTCATGTTACTACATATTGTAATAAAAAATATTAAAATCTAAAACAGCTTAGAATGGTCAACTACTGGTGTCATTACTCTATATTATTATTTATAATAGGACCATAGGACAATTTTTTGGGTGTATCTTGTCTAACTAGAAGTGTAAGGAAAATTTTGAAACAGTATCATACTAAAGATCATTCTTATATTTATAGATCTTATTCTGTTGCTTGCACAAGGATTATGTACAACTAGCAGGATGTCAATAGTGTTCTGGAGAGAGAAAATCTAAAGTGTTGATATATCATATTTACTTAATGGCTATTTGATCAAATTGTAAAGTAATCTAGTATTTACTCTTGAATTTCTTTTGCAATTATGATGGTTTTCATTCCCAAAATGCAAAAGATATGATTCTGTGGTATTTTAGAGACTAGATTACTGAAGTTTCCAAGAACAGACAAAATATAATTGTGTTTTGTCGTCTTACATAATATATATAGTCACACTTCAGACTTTTGGTTATATTTTTCAGTCCACCAAAGTGACCAAACAGTTTACTGAAATATAAGGAGCAAATTATCCATGATGATAGATAATAAATTACATTATGCTAATAACAATTATAAATTTTTTTCACTCTATTTAGTATGTAAGAAAGCAAGCAAATGAATTATTAATGTTTTTAGAACTTCTTGGTTCCACTATCTGAATTTTTCTGAAAGTTTTCTAAACTAAGTCTTTATGTTCAGTTTCAAAGTTTTGATTTGATGTTGGAACCAAGAATGTTTGAAAATATTTCAAATTTTATTTTCTGAATTTTTAAAAGTAAGCAAATATTTATCACTTGTTCTAAGCACATATATTAAAAATAATTATTGCTATGCTTAAGCGTTATCTAACTTTCTTTCAATTACAGTAAGATGTTGCTTATTTCTGCCTCAATTAACACTGATTCGATATAATGCGGTCTGCTCGAAGCCTAAAAGAAAAGCTCAAAATTTTGCTCTGATTTAAATTATCACGGCAGTTTATTAATTCTTATATAATATCATTATTTATGAACACAAACCAATCAGGAAAAGGTGGCAATTCATCGTAGCACTGTACTTTCCTTAAATCTATGTTTGTTTTGTGCAATTTTGGAAAAAATATAACATTATGGATGCCATAGGAAATATCGACTTCACTTGGCAAGAATTAACTGATAAATGCATGAATGGAGTGTGGAAGAAGTTATGGCTGTAGGTATCCAAGAATTCTCAACAAGAAGAGCCTATCATTGTATTGTTAGGTTGACCAAATTGTCAGCCTAATCGATACAGCAGGGCTAGGAGATGTAGATGAGAAGGAGTATATTGAGGAGGATACTTCAGGTTTCTGGTGAGAGCCTTACCAACAACAACCTTCAAGAACTGGCAGAACAAGGAATTCAAGTAGAACTGGAAAATAGAGATTCTGTAAACGAAGAACCCAAAAATTTCTCTACAGATTTCATCAGTAAAAGTTTGGTAATGATAACTGAAATTGTTGATCAAATTGTAGCAAATGATCCAGATTTTGAAAGGAGTACAAAAGCAAGACAAGGTGTTTTGGATGCAATTTGCTACTGACATTTGCTTAAAGAAAGAAAAAGAAAGTGGCAAATGAAATTACACGACTTTATTGCAAAAACAAGAATTTCAGTAAAGTCAGGATCTTCATCACAAGAAATGAACTTTACATTTTTATGTGCATATGATTGTGTGTTATTTAACATACCATATTTTGACGCGTATAATTCACATTTTTTTACTACTGTTTGGGGCTCAAAATCATGGTGTGTCTTATACTCGACAGGTAACCATTTTTACAGTGAAATTACCTACAGTAGTGGTCCACTCTAGGGACCAACCTGTGCAGTGGTCTGTTAAGCAGATAGTTTCTCAACCGAATGGCTAGAGTACCAAGATTATCAGAGTAGTGACACGCGAGTCATCGCCACCATGTTCTGTCAACTGTCATCACATGACCTCTGAGTTTACATTAAGAAATTACAATTATTTCAGTTTAATAAAGGTATTGATTCATTCATCTGTCATATTCTTGAATAAAAAAACAAATAAAATGCATCTTTAAACAATCCCATTAAAACAGGTTTTTTCTAAATTTTTTGTCTCAAAATAAGGGTGCGTCTTATACTTGACAGCGACTTATACTCATCAAGATACGGTATGTTATTATGCAAATTAATATAATAATAACTTAAAATTGAAGTAAAATTTGATTATTTTTGGTCATGTGTTTCCCTTTCCCTATTTACTCTATGTTAAAATGACCTCGTTTAACGCTGTTTCATTTAGTGCTTTGTTGTGTAGGAACCCATCCCTCGCATTAAGTGGGTCTTACTGTATATTTATAATTCTACTGAGATAAACTTAAAACTGGAAAAATGAAATGAAAGTTTAACACCTTTTTGTAAGTCCAGCATTTATTTTTTTAAGACATGTTTTTGATCTTCTCTGTGTATTCTTCAAGAGATCCATAAAGAGGGTCAAAAACACTTGTGTTGTGGATTGAATTGAATATTAATTAACTAGCAGATGAACTTGGCATTGCTCAGACAAAAAGTATCTATAGCAAAGATTAAGATTATTAGATTATAGCCGATCTTACCTGTTTTCACTGAGTGCAAGAATTAGGTCCCTCCTCTTCCAAGACTAATTAGAAAACTTTTAGATATCTGATTACATACCGGGATAATGACAATTAAGAATCACTGTTACTATTAACCGGCGCATAGTTCCACTAAGTGATAAATAATAATCGTTTTCGTAACTCTTTCTGGGTTCTTCTTCAGGTTTAGTAAATTCAAAAAATAAGCGAGATCTTCCAGAATTATTCATAAATATAAATTTGAACATAAAATCAAGCATTAAGACGAAGAGTTTGAATAAAGTGAACTTATGTGCATGCGCTCCCCATGTCAACTTTATATACAA